GATAGTGCAGGGGTGATGAGCCCATGCTACTGGGATTCAGGATCAAATTCCAGCAGTGCCACATACTATTTATTGCTGCGTCCTTCAGTCTTCGAGGACATGGCTGGCAAAATTTTCATGGGGAGGTAAGAACAGGGTGCTTCTCTCCATCTTTACTGTGTACCAGTTTTAGTGCTTACGCTCTGAAAAATGAAAGGGGTCAGAAAGGATTCCCTGGAGTGATGTCACAGAAGAACATCCCTAAAATTGATGGTTCTTTAAAGAACTGTTTTTGTAAATGAGATGTGTGAGTGTGAAGAATTCTTAAAGTTTAAAGAACCGTCAATTCATGTAAAGTATTTATACCAGTTAAAGGATTTGCCTAACCCTGTGCATACAAGCTAAGAACCATTTTAGAACCTTATTTTTAAGAGTGTAGTAAAGTAGTACTGGAAAGACTTTTTAAGAAAGATTTATGCATTTGGGAGGCGCTCATATCCAGATCAATTTACAATGTAATCATGTTACAGAGACAGGCAGATTGCATTAAGAGTCTTGCCCAAGGGCACTTACTGGTATAGCATAGTCACCAGGGCGGTAACTGCCATGTGCAATATCAAATACACTATACCAACAAGATTTGTCAATCATTTTGGAAAGGTCTGTCAATAGTTTTGGAAATGGCAGCTTTGTATACACCAGAGGATGCATCTGCCAACCTTTGCCATTTTTGCCTGATGATTATTATGGATAAAACCTCCTGTACTACACTGTCCATGACTGAAATTACAAAAGAAGTTGCAACATTAGCTCCCACAGTGGAGGCCTTGTACAAATGATAAAACTGATGACATACAGTGGTGTTGTTGTCTATTAATAAAATTGTGTATTCAGTATGAGTAAATATACATTAAGGTAAATAAATATACATCAGAGTATTTGTTATTTGTCATTAGGAGACTGCCTTCATTTGTTTCTGAGACAACATCCCTCACTGTTTTCTGGTCCTGAATGCATATATACTCTTAAAATAAAGGTGCTGAAAGGGGTCCTTCGGAAAGATGCCATAAGAAGAACCACATAGGTTCCCTGTGTGGAGTTTGCATGTTCTCCCTATGTCTGCATGGGATTGCAGTCAGGTCAATTGGACATGCTAGATCCTCCCCTAGGTGTGAGTGTGAGTGTATATGTCTGTGTGTCTGTCCTGCAATGGACTGGCAACCTGTCCAGGATGTTTCCAATGACCAATGACTGCTGGGATAGGCTCCAACACCCCCCGCGACCCAGAAGGATAAGCGATAATAAGGAACCTTTATTTGTAAAGGGGAATTCCACAAATTTTTTTAAGATTTCTGCATAATTTCATTTTTGTGATGTAAACAAAGTCACTGCATACAGTTTGATATAAAATGTCTCACTGTAGAGAAATTTATCATTTCAAATTTTCTTTAAAATGGTGGTGATAGGAACACGGATCACAATGTCTATGCAAATATAGCCACTTATTTGCTATCCAAAATGACCAGTGAACCTACACGTGTCTTCTGACTGTTTGTATGTAAGGTTGATAATAGTAGAATATTAGTCAATCTTAAAAAGTAAGTTTTCTTCGAGGGCTATTTTGCTTCATAACGCTCTCAAGTTTGGCTTCTTTAGTTTAGAAGAAGAGCTGCTGGGTTAAATGCTAATAGTCACCAAACCCATTTTCAGAAATGCATGCCAAATTTTTCATGTATTTGCTTCAAAGCACTTCAATAAGCTACAAAAACTTGTTTTGAAAAAAAAAGGAATATGGTAAACAACATGGACAGACATTATTTATATGTTTAAGCCAAAATTGGAACTACATTGTCATCTACATAACGTCCTGGTTTTCAGGACTATTGCACCTTTATACTCTGGGAGGATGTACTCCAGGAGCGTGTTGTAAAACGTCACAATGCAGGTATGAAGTGTTAGCTCAGAAATACCAGAGATTCTCTAATGTAGGGGGAGATGACAATCCTCTGCTGTTGAAAAGCGCAATGCCCAGTTCGGCCAATCAAATAAAACCTGTTAAGTCGTAAGCCAATCATAATCGACCTTGATGCCAGTGAAGCTCTTCCAAGTGTTACAACGGTTTTCTTTAGCAATGCAAAAACAGGTCATGAGTGTTGCACTGAGTCAAAGTTATTATAAAAGGTAGTTTTGAAGAAATCATTACTGATCACTGCTAAATACACTGAAGTACTGATGGTTAACTACAGCCGTTAGGTCATACTTGCCCTGCAGAGGAGTGTTTGTACAGCTGCTGTAGCTAACCTTAACAGCATTTAGAGCCACTGTTAGAGACACTTTTCTGGGTTACTGCCTCTGACACTGTCTGCTACAAACTGTTGTGTAAAGTGAACATGGCTTTTGTCGTCAGGATATTGTGAAATACAAGTAAATTAACCTGAAAGGAGCAAAGTTTTAATGTTTGCTGGCTTGTCAATGAGTTAAATATGTGCTACTTCGTACTGCTTCAGCTCATTTTTCTGGTATAAAACTATAATAATTAAACATTCAAACAAGAAGTTTACTTAAGCTTCATGCTAAGAGGTGGGTCCAGCTTTGGGATGCTTCTAGCATTTGCTTCCAGTGTTTGTTAACTAGCTAGCTGACAACACTAGCTTTGTATCTGCAGTTCAAAACTAAATAAGCAAATGTTAGACTCCAGTCATGTCTTGGCTGAACAATTGCATTTGGGGTCGGTGGGAAATCAGGTAAATTCGATTTTTCAACTTTTCACTAAAGAGTCTGTCAGACTTTGCTTCTTTGTAAAGCTTGTCTGCAAGTATGCCTATTCAAAGTGACTTGGATATTTTACCATCTGTGTGGCAATTAGTGGAGCTCCGCACAACTCAAGAGTCTCCTTCAAGGACAAGAACCACTGCCTGTGAATTAGATTCACAACTGCTCACCACATACCGAGCACCTTTGTGACCCGCTATGAGCTCAGAGAGCTGCTGGGTTAGAAAGAGGAACAAAGTGTCTCTCCTGTCAGCCTGGAAATTAGATTCACATTAGCTCACATTCATGAGCTTAAAATAAGTCAAGGCAGTTCAGAAACAGTGTTTAACAGGTACTCTGTATGCACCTGCTTATCCAGTGTTTCTTCTGAAAACAAGGGTATTAAAAGGGAGCTTATCCTTCTTTGTTGCAGTAACAGCCTCTACTCTTCTGGAAAGGCTTTACACTAGATGTTGGAACACTGCTGTGAGGGTCGTATTGCATTCAGCCACAAGAGCATTAGTGAAGTCAGGTACTGGTGTTGGATGATCAGTTCTGGGTCGCAAACACTTCTCCAGCTCATCCCAAAGGTATTAGTGATGGTGCTCCATCATTGTGGAGTTGCTTTCCAGTGTGTGATGGCCATAAATAAACAAACTAAAAGACAAATTTGTGTTGATGTTGAATTCATTATTAATGTGGAAATAATGTACATATTTCAATGCATGCAGGCCATTATTTTTTTCAGTGTACTGATGCATGGAGCTTCAGCATATGCAGGTGAGATGCTCAACCTCATCTTCCCCAGGGGGCAATTACCTGGACCTGTTTGCCACGGTGGAATGGCCTGTGCTCATATGGGGGTCAGCAATTTAGGTGTTGTTTGGATCTCTCTCTCTCTCTCTCTCTCCTCTCTCTCTCTCTCTCTCTCAGCCTTGTAGAGCCCTGGCCTCATTTCCTCCAATGGGGCCTATAACAAGGGCAACAAGGTCATCCCAATTATTAAACTGAAATAACTTAAATAACTCCCCCATATGAACAGTTTTGGTGTTGTTTTTTTATTGTTTTTTATTACACACAATTCATGAGGTTGCACTTATTGACTGCAATTGACTTGTTGGGCACTGGTGCATCATTTTCCTTTAAACGATTCTCCATCTGAGTAACGCGCAAAGAAAAACACTGTCACATTCTCACTCTGTGCTTAAGCCCCCCTGAATGCTTGCTAGGGTCAGGTGTAAAAACATGTTTGGGTCAGTTGAAGCCCAATGGAACGCAGTGTACCGCATCCCCTTGGGCCCTGGAGCTAGCTAAGCCTGACTGAGCTGCATACATATCAATACATTTTAAGGTTGCAGTCAAAAGCACAATGCAAGGAAAAACATCAACTGGTCCCAATGAAGTAAACTGGATACTATTGGAAAATTGTGAGTTCTTGCATTTAATAATTAATGGGGCCATCTTCAATATTTAATAGTCTGTGATGTATTATATATGTGACATCCATTCCCATCTTTGGAGATCAATTATCAGATATCAGTATCAATTACAGTTCCTTGGGACCGCTTAATAGATTTACCCAAATATTTTTAAACAGAGTCGTATTTCTAAGCCTTTTGGGATATGAGAAAAACATATTTATGCAAAGTTCATGTGTGTGGCAGCAGATTCAGAAGCAGCTCCACACAGACTGTCTGTAACCTGACAACTCGTTTTCACAGCATAATCTATAAACACGAATCTCTAATGCGTGGTCATTTATGAGAGCCCTGCTCTATTACACTTTAGAAGACCAATCTGTGTGACTGGACCTGAGCTACCTAGGACAGGTGTGGTGTGGTTCAACATTGTCGCCAGCAAGCGGCGCTGATGTGTCCTTTTTGCACAGCGGTTTACTTTATTTCCCGCCTGTATTCCGACAAGCCCAGCCTTCCTTCGCTGGGATTTGCTAGTAGCTTATACTCAGCGATAGGCGAACGGTTTATGAGTATGAAGTACTAGCCAATCGTAGCGTAGGTGGCGGGTATCACGAGCTAATCGTAAATCAGGAGGGCGGGACATGTCGGAATATGGGTGGGAAAAACAACACAGTACAAAGCCCATCTGTGGGCTCCCCGTGAGGGTGAACTACTAGCCAATCCGAGCGCGCGAAGCGACATACCGCTAGCCAATGGCAGCGCAGGAGGGCGGGACGTGCCGGAATACGGGTGGAGGAAGAAAATAAATAAATAAACTACCGCGTACATACAGCACAAAGCCGAGCGCGAAAGGGGAGGAGCAGAGCCGGAGTAAAGTAGCAGCACGGCTGAGGCTGAAAGGCTACCGCTTCGCATCTTGCTAGCAAGCAAGGGGCTGGGAGGGTCTGTCAACTCCTCCAAGAGACTGGAGGCACCTGACTGAGGGAGACACCAGGGCCAGGGAACGGGTCTTTAGTCGTACGCTCACACGCAGCACGCCGTGAATGAGGGAAGCTTCCACATCTGAGGGAAACAAGGACGAAAACACGGAGGAGGCTGCGGTTGCAGTTTGTTGAGGTAAGGCTCGGACGCCACTGACAGCGCCGTGGTGCTTTTACTTTCTGCGTTTTATCTGCTCATGTTTGCCCTCAACATCCGTGTGAAGCAGTAGCGGAGGGCGTGTGGGATGCTACGAGACCAGCGTCCTGCGTTGTGGGACTGGAGCTGCGTGCGTTTGTGCCATCCTTTCCAGATGTGTCAGGATAAGCTTGTAGTGCGCAAGCGCTCAGCGCTTAAAACTTGCTGTCAGGGGTTTAGGAGGCTGGCAGAGCTGCTGGCAGTTGGGACAGATGTAGTTAGTCTCCTGAAACAAAGAGACAGTACTTAAAGATGTCAAAATAGCCTCATCTGTCAGATCTCAAATCAGAGCTGTCCTTTCAAAGGGCTGTGCCTGTAATTATGACAACTAAGTCCGTATACACAACCTTTTGTGAACGAGTAGTATGCCAGGCAGGGAGGTAAACACTGACCTTATTTACACTTTGTCTCTCATTCTGAATGGTGACCCCTATGATGCTGAAGAAGATGGGGTTCGCTTCCTGGACAGGGATTAAGCCTTGTCCAGAATTACACAGTACTCTGAATAGAGATTCTCCGTTGGGAGAGGAATGTACTCCAGGACTAGGTTTAACCTCTGCCTAGGAAACTGACCCATAGTGTGGGAAGCTAATATTCTTGTGCTGATTTAACTCCAGTGATTCAGTTTTAGCCATTATTAGATCATGTGGAGTTTATAATCAGACTATATTCTACTCTGCTGTGATCTGCACTGTTACTCTGGATTCATCTCTACTGTTTTGGAGAGTGGAGAGTAAGTTTCAGTTCACTTCTCCTAGTGATTCATAGGAGCGCCGAGGCTTTGGTGATGAGCTGTCAGTTTTTTCTGGTGTTCACCAGTCAGATCAGTTCCGCTTAATTTCACTGTGAAATTGTACTGGATGCTGATGAATTTGTGTACCTCAAGATGGCTGGTAATAAGAGTGTTCGTGGTACGGCAGCTGTTGAAGAGAAGTCTCTTTAAGACACTAGAAAGAGTGACACTCCACACCAGCTTACTCTTTTTTAGTGTTAGCCCTGGCCTATGGCTTCAAGAGCGCACTGTCAGAGTAATCTTTGTTCTGTCATATGCTATTATGTTTTTTCACACCCAGAAGTGCAGGTACAGATGTATAGCTCTCATCTCTCAGTGGAATTGCAGTCTTGTCATGTTGGCTGAGCTTCCAGCGGCAGTCAAGAGGAGCAGACACCTACACTGATAATATTGGCAAATCTATCAGGTAGCATGGTCACATAGAGGATTAAAGGCTTATGGCACGGTCATCCCAGAACAGGGCTGAGGGTCTGAACCTGCTAAAGTGAGATTCTGCTCAGAAGCTGTTAAACACATACCAGTGTGAACGTTCCAATGCACACGTACTGTATATACACATGTGCATGTAATATATACACATCTATATATGCACAGACAGACGTTTGTCACAATTTAAATAGTACTTACGAAGTTTTTTTTAATATTAAAAAAAATTAGTCTTTGAGACGTAAACAAAGTCATTCAGAGCGTTTGATGTGAAATGGTGTACTGTAGTGAATCTTATCAACTGGGTTTTCTTTACAGTGGGGGTGATAGGAACCAGTGGTCATAATTTCTAAAATGCAAATATAGTAATTTTATTTACTATCCAAAATGAACGGTGAACTTACATGTGTCTTCTGAGTTTCATAAGTAATGCTGATGATGGTAAAATAGTAGTAAATCTAAAAAAAAAGACTATTTTGCCCTATAATGCACTGTATATACCTCTCTGCTATGAATGGATATAAAAACATATATCCTGAAACCTTATCCTGAAACTAATGTAAAACTTTGTCACAGACATCAGGCAGCACATTTGTAACCGTTTCATGTAATAACTTTCTGTGAGGTAGCTTTTAGAGAAATTATTAAATGTTAATTATATTAGTCTTACTATAATCTGACTGACTGAGATCACACATATCATCGCTGTCCAAACGAAAAACAAGTATCTCCAAAACCTTTACAGGAGAGGGTAAAAACCTTCTTTGCTTTCAATATAAGTGAATGAAAAGAGATTTTATTCTAAGCAGTTTTGGAGCATTTCTATTGGCCCAATCATCTTGAAATTTTCGCACAATGTAAAGAAGAGCTGCTGAGCTCAAATGATGCAGAGAAGTAAAAATCGCAAAAAATGGAGATACATGGTTTTCGCTGGACAGTGACGATATTTAAAATGTTGGTTGCATTTATATTTCCAGTCTTTCTTTGTTGCTAAACTAAGTTGACTTCAGTTAGCTGCACACCATTGTAAATGTAATCTGCACCATACATATAATTTCCTGATTAATATTGCAATCAGTAGTTTAATCTAAATGGCCACAATATCTGATTGTTTTCTTCATATAACATTACATTTGAGCTTTCGATTGATAAGTTAGATGTGTTTCATTCTGATTAAAGCCTTCTCAGCTGAGGTCATGCTTGCTGTCAGCGTGTCACGATTCATTGCTTTTTTTAAAAAAAAGATTGTTTTTTTTAAGTAGACACAGAGTGCACTGTCTGATAATTTGTCTTATATTTTATTTAATATTCGTACTGTACATTTTTAGGATTGTATTAAACACCTTATTTATACTTGCTTAATTAAACACACTTTAAGACATGTATCTCCTTTAATATATTTTAATTGCATTGTTCCATGACAGGTTCTCTTACCCTCCCCCAGCCCTGTCACTTGGGGATTACAGTTTAAAAGCATGGATGAAAGCAACAGTATGAGTAGCAGCAGAGAGAATAAGCTTGCACTGTTTGACAGGACTATTATGTTTTTGTAAGTCAAATCAGGAAAGGTCTTGATGAGGGCACAGTTTAGTACTGCTGGTATGTGATAGCAAGACTTAGATGGAGGCTTACATTGTAATGGAGAATGGCCTGACTTGTAAACAGCGAGTCAAGCAGGATAGCAATTCAGTGTCTATTTAAAGCCTCATTGACGTTATAGAATGTATGGAAGATGAATTAGAATGTTTTTTCAGTCAGTCATTGGTCTTATTTGCTCAAATTATACCTTAAATGAATTCATTTTTTCTATTAAAAAGTAGTGCATTTTTATACTTATATGACAAAAAGACTTTCACTAATTTGATAACATTCATAAAAATCATGATTTCCAGAGGGTGAAGGTAATTTTTATCTCCAATATCCAGTGTGAGCAGCAGTGGCTACCTCTTGCAACCAATGACTGTATGTATCATATCTTGGACTTTTAAAAGACCTGAACTTTAGACTGAAATGCTTTTGCTTTGAAGTTTATAATCTACACAGAAAAAACTTAATTGCAGAAAATATGTGTTTCATCAGTGACAGTTCTTAATGCTACAGACTGAATTTGGGACACATTTGTTTCAAACCAGTGAGATCTAACTGTTCACCATGTAGCCGTGAGGGACAGGAATACAGTCTTACTTCCCATAAACACAGGGGTGTGGCAAAAATACTTTGTGGATTTTTATTTCGGTAATGACATTAAAAATAAGTTTTTAATTTAAAAATTAAACTCACAAGAAATCTAATTTCATGTTCATGTTCAACTTCACTTTTAAATAAATAAAAAAGTCTTAAAAACACTTACAAAGAAATTATTTTCAAGTTGAAATTTAGGGGTTAGGGTTCGGGACAACTACTCCCCAATTGAAAATACCCTATAAGTGTACCTGTTCATAAGAATACATGAGCAGCTGAGCTTCATCCTGGACTACTGTGGTTAGTTTCAAGGGTCAAACTAGGAAAATGTGTTAACAGTGCTAAAAAATAGTGCTGTTAAAATTTTACATTGGCATGTTTTAATGCCTTAACATTGACCGCGTTCATATGCATATCTACATAAAACATGTCCACACACAGTTGTGACTATAAAACTAGCTTCAGAATTAACCTCTGTAAAATGCAGGTTCAGCCATGGTATGATATGGTATGAAGTATTAAGGAGCCATGAAATGAGCAAAATACTAGTAGTATTACTATGATATTGCTGTTGCGATTGCCCTACACCTTACAGTATATTAATGCGCAGGTGGATCAATCATGTGACATAGTTGAAGACAGGCCTGCATTATTACTAATTTTGTTGAATTAGATGATCACTTTGATGAATCCGAATAATAACAAAACAATTATTTGCAGCTATAATACAGTATGCAACAAAAGAACGTCATTGGTTCTCATTGGACTCATTTATGTGATGTTGGTTTGCTAAGGCCAGTATCATGATAACAGTTAACAAATGATGTAATGTGTGGCCCTGGTGATATGACATCCTTCCTGGTTGAATATGTCAGCAAATACTTATTGCGCAGGTATAATACTAGCCATCCTCTTATCCTTGTTTGTGTTCTGTTACAGCTGAATAAAACACATCAGCTTTTTTCCTTTCATTATCATGGAAACATATGAAATGGCAATAAATTAGTATCTGGCTATTCAGTCACAGGAGAGTGCTCTGTTTCCTGTGAGTGGCCGAAAGAGCTGAAGGATAGCTTGTGCTTGTGGACGTACTCAGATGAATACGCAATAGCTTGTGACTAGAACTCCCTATGGCACGCTGGTCTCTGATCCGTCTCCATATATAGACAGGAACCCATGAGGATGCATTGGCAGCATCAACTCAAGCTAAACAAACAGGTGAGGGAATGGATATCTTGCTTTCCATGGGACGTAGAAGCAGGAAACTCCAGCAGGAGTTGGAACAGCGAGAGCAGATCAGTAAAAGACTACAGCCGCTTTGAGTGTGGCTCATAATTTGTGTGCTCAAGCCAGATAGTCAAACAAGTTCTGCCGAATGCCAGCACCCATGATGAGAATTAGTATGCAGAATATTAAACCACAGTGGCCAAAGCAAAAGGAGTAATATACTTGCTAATGTAGAAAGGGCAAAAGGCCGCGAGCAAACTGCACAGTTTGCGAGCTCTTAAGAGGCCATGTGAGCCATTAGAGGCAGTCCACG